AACTGAGCCAATGTTAAGTGCTTAGATCAGTTCCTGGCCCATAATAAGCACCCAGTAAACATTATCTACTATTTCCTTTTTCTTCTCCAGTTTTCAGTCTGTAAGAACCAACCCCATAAAGACTACTTGCAGCTAGAAACACCTAGAAAAAGCCGTGGGTTCCCCCACAGTGGCTTCCCTGGAAGTAATGAATCTAAATAATCCCGACACAGAGCTTCTTGTTAAACAACGAGCTAATTTTTAGACTACCTTGTTTTTATATATGTGTACACATACAAATAATAGATTAAATGATCGTGCTAGTTTCCTACACATTGTCAATTCTCCCTCCTTCCTTAAGAAGTCCATTGTGTTCTGGGCAGCCATGTGCTTGGCTAAAAACTCACTTCTCCAAACTCCCTCTGGCTGTGGTGGCCAAGCACCCAATTCTGAGTCCCCATTCTTTGCTATAGTTTTCTCCAAAGCACCATTTAAAGCATATAAATATTTTCTGCTCCGTCTCCCTACACACGGCTTGTGTCAGAGCCTCATCGCATGATCCTAGAACCCAGGACAGGGCCCTGCACACAAGGCCAGGGCGCACTGAGCGGGAGCTGCAGGAGGGAATGCGTGGGACGCAGTGGAGTGAGTCGCAGTTTCTCGGAAAGCTTTTGTAAAATGTACCTGTGGCCTTTGGCCCTCTTACCTTTCTCTCTTCACCCTGTTTCTCTCTCCTTCCCACCTGGAAGACGCAGCAGCCTCTTTAAAACAGGAGGACACACAAACACCTCCTCCCCTCCCCCCAAAAAAGACAACAGTCGGCTCCTGAAGACTTGCCTGGGCCTCAGTGCCAAGCATGGAACAAGGCTATATCTAACGAACCTTGGATTTGTTTATGTTGCTATTGTCCCGCTTTATGTTGTTCGTAGCTAAACTCATTCTTAATGGATAGAGTTATAAAAATATTTCCAAGCCAAAAAGCCTTGTTTTTTATAGTCTTGAGACTAGCCGGTGAGTAACAAGAAATTCAATGAACGTTCACCTTTCAGCCAGTTGACACAAATCCAAGATTGGTACAATAAAGTACGTAGCCTCATCAACAGCCGATGTAAATAGGTATAAATGGAAGAAGTTCAAATGAAAGCTTCCTTGGTCTTACATTTTCAGTGAAAACGAGTGGAGGCACCAGACGGATTGCAAGAAAATAAGGATGAATGGAGCCTGTCGAACCAGTCAGGGGAGGGTCTGTTTCATATCTATTATCTGTCTGTCTATCCATCCATCCTTCCATCGTGGGGGTCAGCCACGCCTCCAGGCCCACCAGAGCCTGGCAGCCCCACAAGGCAGCGTGTCCAGGCGCAGTGACGTTGGGTACATTGGACCTCTCACTGCCTGTCTCCTCTCCCCTACAAGGCCCTCCTCTTTGGCCTCTTCTGGTCAGACCTATATTCCTGTCATTTAAGGGTTTAAACCTGTGAAATGCTAAATACCCCTGAGAAAGACAATGCATTTTTTTTTTTTTTTTTAGGAAATCAGACATTTGTATCATCCCTAATGCCTGACTCCTTCCTTAAGCAGGTTTTAACTGGAGGAGAAGGAAAGAAGCAAGTGGTGCCCAGACCCCGGGACAGCTGGCGTGGAAGGGGGGGACTGTGGGTCTGGAAGGCAGGGGCCGCACAAGCCAGCGGCGCGACTCCCGCACGTCAACTCCCGCACGTCAACTCCTGCAGGTCCACTGCCATCTACTCCTCTGCGCCGAGGGGCAGGCTGCCGCAGCATTTGTCCACTTTTGTTCGCTGAGCTCTCTGGCCTTACAAATAAAAAGCAGAAGAAAACATCTGCCCCTAAAACAACGCTGCTGCCTCGGAAGGGCATTTTGGTTGGCAGGTCATTTTCCGGGGCTTGAAAAGCTACCAGCAAGCATTTTGATCTGAAGAACAGCAGGATTTTGCCTTTCAAGTATTTGCGTTCTTAAGTACACAAAGACAAATAATTCTATATAAACACTATTCCACCTACTCCGATCATCATCTGACCTACAGTGTCCAGAGCGATATCTCAATCTTTCTAGAAAAACCTTTTTGGAAGATTTAATCCAAAATAATTATCAATTTAAGAACGAGTATCACCATTCTGCAAGTTGCCATAAAAATCAATTCAGGCAGGAATCATTAAAGGAATCTAAAACCAGTAGGTAAAAGTTTGATGAGGAACAAGATATAGACATAGTTTCAGATGCTCTCTCATAGGATATGTTTTAATTGCAATGGGAAAATTGTAACTTCTCAGCAAGCAGGCAGACATCATTAATCAAATGATTCAAATTAATATCACTATTGAGGAATATTTCACAAAACTAGCCTATATCCTTAAAAAATATCAATATCATAAAGAACAAAGCCAAGAAATCCTTTCAGATTAAATGTGACAAGAGACGTAACATGTAAATGCATGCAGTGAATGATTTTTTTTTTTTTTTAAGTGTTGGATTGGGCCCTGACTGGTGTGATTCGGTTGGGCGTCGTCCTGCAAAGCGAAAGGTCAGGGGTTTGAATCCCAGTCAGGGCACATGCCTGGGCTGCAGGTTCAGTCCCAAGTCAGGGCACCTACAAGAAGCAACTGATCCATGTTTCTCTCTCAAATTAGTGTGCCTCTCCCTTTCTTCCTCCCTTTCTTCCCTTCTCTCTAAAAATAAAAATAAATAAAACCTTTAAAAGTAAATAAGTAAATAGACAGAAAGTGTGGGAATGGGGGGAAAAGTGCTGTAAGAAACATTGCTGGGACAATTAAAGAAACTTGAACATAAACTGTACATTGGGGAAGCCAGCATTAAAATTCCTCTATTTGGTAATTATACTGTGGTTCTGTAAGAGGATATACTTGTCCTTAAGAGAGATATGCTGAAGTGTTTAGGGGTGTGTGCCATGATGCCTGCAACTTGCTCTCAAATAGTTCAGCAGTAACAATTAGTGATTTATGTAAGAGAGATAGAGGGCAGGAGAATGCAAACTGGTGAGTCTAAGTAAAACTTATACGGAAGTCCACTGCACAATTGCAAATGTTCTGTAAGTTTAACATTTTGTCAAAAGTTCTTTAAAGAAAAAAAGAATTCCACAATTTTCAAAAACTATTCATGAGAAAATGAAGGACAAAATGCATTAAAACTTTCAATTTATTTGAACATCTAAGCTTAACTTAAACATTTAAAAGAACAAAAACAAAATGGCAGTATTACAGATGAAAAGGTTGGGGTTGTGTGTATGTTTTCAATTTTTTTTGTTTTTTGTTTTTTTTTTGTTAACCTCAGAGGAGGCTGTCATTCCCTCTCTTGGCCACAGGAGTCATGCTACATTTCACTAAGTGAAGGCTATAAACACGGAAAGTATGACTACCCATAATTGAGGGGAAGAAGAAATGCCCAGCCTAAGATTAGTACAAATTTGGTGAGTCACTTCCGCTCAGGAGGAAAGACAAACAACTCTTTATGTCCTGAAGGATTCAGAGATGGAGAGAACACCTGAGTTCTCAGCTTGAATTATGCCACACAGGCAGTAAACTAGGTCAGGTGAACCGACAGCCCCTTCACTCAATACTTCTGCCCATGCTCAGTTCAACACCACCACAGTACCTCCAGTTTCAAAATCAATGTCAAGTCAAATTTCTTGGCTGGTTCGGCCTCCACATGACTAAGTTGCTGGGAGAATATATGCAAGTAAAACAAAGGAAATTCATGTTGACTGCACAGCGACCCTCTAAGCTTGAGTGGGCAATGGCCTTGGTTTTCTTTTGCTCGTCACCCCACGTTCCTCAGTCCTGAACCAAACCTGCTGAACCTCTTCAACGGAGAGTGGGAGCTTTGGCGAAGCAGCCTCCCCTCCTCCGAGCTGCTCCGGGCGAGCAGCTCACACACGTGGACGGATTAGGCGGAGCTGTGCTGCAAAGCACACACACGCTCTCCCAACGTGTGCTTCTCATTCCAGAAATACTTTGTTCCTGAACCACTTCTATGTCTCTCTTGGCATGAAACGGCCCAAGTGGCCCTGTGCCAAAGGAAGTGTCTGTTTAAACATGTGGACTTTCTTAAAATTTCTTTACCTCGGAAGATCACAAATAGAACATTCTAGCATAATTATAATGGAATAAAGTAGAAAAGAAAAAGGTTACAGGTGGAGGGAAAAAACAAAACAAAACATTTGTTTTGTTTTATAAAGTTGCCTAAAAGAAATACTGGAAATACAAGATATAACATAGAATTATCTTCCAAGACAGTAAAAATTACAGGGTCCAAGTTAGGACAAGGAAGCAAAAATATGACCTTCAAGGTTAGTGAGCATTTGCCATCTTCTGTCACAGTGTTCATTCCTGTGTTAAGGTCAACCACCCAATCACAATGCAGCAAAGTGTTTCAATCGTCGTTTGATTCTGGAATATTTCCATTGTGTACCTTGCTTCTTTAAGATTTTCACTGTATATCCAAAACTAATAACGTAAAAGCAGCAACCCCATTTTGGTTGACTTATCTGTCCTTCCCCTTTCTCCAAGAAATACCTCCCTCCAAGCTTTTCTTTAGGACGCACTCACAGTATGCAGTGTGAAATCAATAATCCTTCACAGAGTTGTCAGGCATCACCAACGGAATTACAACTGAAAACACACTTGTATTATCTACCTACACACAGGGTTGGGCAAAAGTAGGTTTACAGTTGTGAGTACGCAGAACCGCTTCTTCTTGTATTATTATTTATTATTTTATTACTTACTTGTATTATTTCTTTCCGTATTATTTCACATCCTTACTTATGATTTATCTTTTAGGCAACGATGGCTGGTAATTGAGCCCACGACCAACAGAAGTGGGTACTTAAAGCCTACTTTTGCCCACCCCGGTATGTGTACACATACACATACCATGGAAGGAAACTGACATCAAGCACCACAGAACACACACGACACGATCACCCATGAACGTGGACCTAAAAGACATCTCCACTGAATTTCTGGCCCTGGGCAGGGCGACTTACTTTCTTTCCACTTCTGGTGTTGACGCGGCGCTGCAGAAACCAAGCGACTCCTAGGAGAGAAAGGTCACAGCGTCAGTGCAGGCGGCACGCAGCCGGCTTCACCGGGTTTGTACAGAATATCACTTAAGAAAAAGAAAAAAAAGGGGCAGAAGCAAAAAGAGACGATTCAACTCATTGTGCTTACTTCAATCTGGGACCGCAGCTGAAGTGCTGTGGGGCCGGCATCGGGTTTCTCCTAAAACAGAACAGATGCTGCTTTTAATGAGACTTCCAAACGTGGCACAGACCAGAAAGACAAATAGATGTGTAACAAGAGATGGGGGAATTTGGGAAACACGAGGGTACAGGGGGAGGAGATGGCAGGGATAAACACATTTTCTGGAAACACTAAAGTGTTTTTAAAATGAGAGCTCTAGCCTCTTCAGTAAAATTGAACTGTTTTCCAAACTTCACCACTTGACACCACTGACAATTTTATAAGCACAGTCTAGCTGAAGCGCACGGACAGCTAACGGTGAAATAATTCTCTGGGTGTGATCAGACCCTCACTAAGACACAGAATTTACAGTGACTCATTTGTGTTCGGTTTCTTCTTCAACAACAGAGTCTCATCTGATTGTAAAGTGCTAAACAGTTTCAGGACATTTGGGAAGGTGGGGCTAGTTGGAAGAGTCTTTAGGAAAGTGAAAAATTAACTTGGTATGACCTCACAGACCTAAAAATCTCCAGGCGCCTATAGTACAAATAAATGAAGTAGCCTAGATGAAAATTTAAAAATGAAAAAAACAAAACAAAAAAACCCTCAGCATCCAGTTAGCAGATGAAATAAATGCAAGAAGTACTACGCTGAAAATCATTAAGTGAAAAGAAGCAGAGGGATCAAACAATGTTAGAGATAAAGCCATGTAGCATAACACTCTCATCTTACAGGTAAAAAACAACAACACTGTATCCCCTTGGAAAGAAAAAAAAGGAGAAATAAACCTTTAATGAAAGCTAACCTGTGATGAAAATAATATATCGAAATAAGCATTGGCAGCAAAACACGGCAATTGCACTATTACATGTGATAGAATGCACCATGGGAAAATAAGGGATATACCACCGAACGGAGCACCACATTGATATTTTTCCTTAGTAGAGAAACATTCTAACTGTAAATGGGTGCTGACGCGGAGGTCCTCATCAGAGTGGTCCACCATCCAGGGGGGGTCCCCACCTAACCAACAAGTCACAAGCAGGACAATGGGCAGTTTTAGTACTGTCACTAACATTATACAACTTTGAAATATCAGATTAATTCTGAGTTCTCCAATAACCCTATTGTGTTAGCGATTGCTACGTTCTTTGGGATTGCACACGTGCTATATAGGAAGACTATTTTGTGAGTCTTGGCTAACATACGGGAAATAGGAGCAGGTCATCTCAAATATGAACTCTCACTTTGCCATTTAATTGTTCAATTTACTAAAGTTGCCCATTTCATCATTAGCATGATGACAAAACTAGATCAATGTTTTCAAAACTTAGCAATAAAATATGCAAATAAGTATAACTCAGAGTAAATTCATGAATGTAAATAGCTACCAGGAATCTAGTACCAATACAGTCTACAGAGTGAATGCGCCAGGGCGAGTCAACCTGAGAATGGGATGATGTTGGACAAGGCTGAAAAAGTGTTTTAACGGACTGGCAACCCCCTGACCCCTAGTCCAAGGGCCTTACTTGTTATGAAAAAGAGTAAGGCGTGAATCCATAGAACTTCTCTCTGCTTAGCATCCTGGTTTTTATTGCCACCTTTGTTCATTACAGACATGTTGATCTTTGTTTCAAACTTGATACACCTTTTTATTGACACGATGTATAGAAATGTTTGCATTGCATTCCAAGCCCAGTTGATAGGATGGTCAGATTCAGATATAGTAACAAAATGGGTATGTATTTCTGAGGTTCCCAGTGTCGAGTCCAGTCACGATGCCCTGATAGCTAACCACTTCGCATTGCGTAGAGCAATTTACCAACTTAAACAGCAGGGGGTTAAACAAAGGTTTATTTTATAATTTTCTCATTCTACGTTGTCCAGTATGAAAGCCTCAGAGTGACAACAGAACTCAATTAGGCCTCCCGACATTTCTCTAAAATTTCCCCTTTAACACCCAACTCCAGTAAATTTCCTTCCAAAACCATCAATGACAACAATAAACAAAGGCTGATTCAATTCTCTCCCCTTCTTCAGTTCTTAGCGCTTCTTCAAAATCGAAGTCCCTACCTCGCTAGGTAATAGTCCACACTAGGACATTTTCTGCCAGTACTGTATATTTTTATCTGCATTTTCCCAATAAATTTTATTTATTGAGTACATCCTTTGTCACTCAGTATCATAAACACAATATTTTGGTATATTATGCAAAACATAGAGGTTCCTGCATAAGGATCAGGGCCTCGTTAACAACCATATTAAATGTTTGATGACCAGGAAGTGCTCTGGCTGGTGTGGCTCAGTGGATTGAGTGCCAGCCTGTGAACCAAAGAGTTGCTGGTTCTATTCCCAGTCAGGGCAAATGCCTGGGTTGCGGGCCAAGTCCAGCTGTGAGAGTGTGAGAGGAAACCACACATTGATGTTTCTCTCTTTCTCTATAAATAAATAAATAAATAAATAAATAAATAAAATCCTTTAAAAAAAAGTAACATTCTAAACAATTCAACTTCATATTTAAGTGTATTACTTATAATGAACATAAAGTGTTTTAGCCACTTTTTAGGAAATTGAAGGGGGGTGTATTTTGATGTTCAATGTATTAAAACTCGTTCCTTTAAAATAATGGACCCAGTGAATGTTTCCATGCAGAACATCAGTTTTATCAGCGACAGGAAATGTTAAACAGGGGCATTTGTACAGTGATGTTTCCAGTGGTTCTTTTTTCCCTACAACATCCCACAAAATAATGTTTTTCGAAGCAAATATTAATTATATCAATTAAAGAAAGACTACCATCTTTGTCAAGAAGCATTTCTTAGACCAAACGCATCCTCAAGTAAAAAATATTACACAAATAAGCAGCAGCTGGTAACACTGTCTCCTAAGTAAGGACCTATATGATGTTTGGAGAGAAAACAGAATGGGCTATTGGAAAATTCCATTATGACAACACTGATGGATGTCACAAGATATCCATGACACATGTGCAGTAATTAATCATTGTTATCACGTATGAATAGTATAAAATATTTACAGCATAAAAATATATAATAAAAAAATACAGCAAACCCTGTGGACCCACTGCTGGGCCTGAGAAATGGACCAGCACAGAGTTTAAGGTAGCAGGTGTTCCGATACACACCGGGACAAAGCACCTGTGCGCAGAGCATGACACGTATCGTACTAGAACCATCACACAAATATACAGAAGAGTGCTGGACAACTTTTTATTGTTTATCACAGAAAAAAAGGTTGGATTTTTTTTTTCTTTCTTCATGGCCCAATGGGGAGTGGAAAACCATGACGGAATCAGACAGAAGGTGCACCAGCCACGTGTGCAACAACAAAGGGTGCTGCCTGCCCAATAGAGAGGCAGGAATTCGGGTCGGGGGGACAGAGAGAGGCTCCCTGACACCCCCTTCCACGGCCAGTGTATAGTTCAGGCCCCTTCTCCACTTCCAATTCAACTGCCACCAGTTTTGGGGAGAGGCCAGCAAGCCCCTGGGTCCTGGGTTCCGATAGAAGGAAGTCCAGATGAAGGAGAAGGTGGAGTAAGAAGAATGAAAGAGATGACGTTGATGGCCTAGCCCCAAACCACTTTATTCGGGGAAATACTGATGTTCATAATACAGCTTCTGATTTGGAAGTCACTGTGTTGTTGAAAACAGTAAAAACTGTGAAAACCACTAAACCCCGGTCACTGAGTATATATGTACCCTTGGGGCATGTTATGGAAAGACATGAGCACTGAGAAATAAGATTCTGCTCTCCCTTATCAACATATTGACAGTTTTCTCCCTCAATAATGTATGCAGCAGTCAACTACCGCTGTGTAACAAATCAATTCAAATTTAGTTGCAAAACAACAAGCATCTTATTATGCTCACAGATTCTGTGCCTAAGACTTCAGAAAGAAGACATCAGGAATGGCTTGTCTCTGCTCCATGGTACCTGGGGCCTCAGATGGGTCGGGGGGGCTTGATGACCAGGGTCATAATCATGAGCCCTGCTCGCTCACATGTCTGGAGGCCTATGCTGGTTAACAGCTGGGACCTCAGCAGTGGCAATCAGCTGGAAGACATACAGGGGTGCTCCACGCAGCTGCAGAATACTGGTTTGTAAGAGCAAGAGAAACATCGATGTGAGAGAGAAACACCCATCAGTTGCCTCTTGCACATGTCCTGACTGGGACTGAACCTCCAACCCAGGCGGGTGCCCTGAGCAGGAACTGAACCAGTGACCTTTCCCTTCCTGGGAAGACACCCAACCAACTGAGCCACCCAGTCAGGGCTGTGTTGCCTTTTTTAACAGAGCCTCAGATGGTGTCACTTCTGGAATCAAAACCTCTCCTAGATGCAAGAGGGTACACAGCCCCCACCTCTCAAGGGGCAGAGTGTCAAATCTGTGGTAGGAGGAACACTGCAGCGGGAGGTACCCTCATGGCAGGCTTTAGGAGTCAGTCTGCCACTCTCGGTGCTGAGGAGACAGGCCCTCCCCTGTGTTCTCGGAAAGAGGAATGAGGTGAGATCTTTTCCATGTGACAATGTCCATAAGGATTCTTCTGTGACTTTTATGGTTTGCTCAAGTAGCATATCTTGGCAATATATTTCAATCTTAACCTACCACGTACAGGTTGAAATATCACAATGTTTCATACTAAAATTATTATCTCTCTCATTTCAAACTTATTATTAAAGAAAGCCTCAAATACACGAAAGTAAAGAAAACCGGATAATGAACGTCCAAACTGCTATTACCCAACGTCAACAATTGTCTACTTAAAGTCAATTTTGTTTTATCTATACCTTCACCTATGCTTCAGCCCCACCCAATTTTACTTTGAAGAAAATCCCAGACACACGATCATGAAATATCACAATTGTTTTTTATGTTAATAAGGTTTAGTAAACATGGTTGCTTAAATCCCAACTGTGGTTCATCTTGAGCAAATGCTTCAATCGTCAAGAATTTGACCCCTTTCTCCAAGCACTGGAGAACTTTCTCTGGTCATTGCAGGGAAAAAAAAATCATATTAA